CAATGGCGGGTGCAGCTGTATGGGTCTTGCTGGGTTTCCGTAGTCCTCTTTCCTGGAGAGTTTCAGGGTTTGTCGTCTTCTGGGCTCTGCCATGCGTGTAATATTGTCCGTGGTCACGAAGGCTTCGCAGGGAGAGTGGGATGGCCGGGGGAAGGAGGGATACCTAGCTCTAGTGCAGATCTGATTATCGCGGCATTTGAGTAGAAGCCTCTGCTAATGGGCCCGAAGGACAGGGGATCTGTCGCTCTGCATTATTTGGAAATGCATTTATCCTGTTCCTGTGCGCCTGAAAAAGGCTGTAGACGTTTGTGGCGGTTGCGCTGCAGTGTGTTGCCAAGTTGCCGATGCTGCTATTGCACATCTCCTCCGGAGACAGGGGGAAAGTTCCTGTGTTGGTTTTTTTTGTATTTGCTTGTGCGTGATACAATAACTGCAGTTTGTGTTTGCACACTTCAGAAAATGATGCAGCGAATTAATCCACCAGCTGTACCAAGAGGAATAAAACTGATTTGAATATCAATACCCATTTTTATCTTTACAATGTACCCATGGCCTAGCTTGATATGGATGAGCTTGTTTGTGGATTTTCCTCCTTGTTTTATCTAGTCTTGCAGGTGTTTATGCCACTTTTGCAAGTTGTTCACAAAGGACATGGAAAAGAGCAGAGCTGTTATCCGTTAGATTTTATTCACTGTGAAATACTGAGAGTTGCGGGGTATGCCTGCAACTTCAGTGAAGTAAACGCAGCATATCAGAAGTTTGCTATGCATTTATGAGGTCCCAAAATAACTCTGCTTTAAACTAAAGGCTTTGAAATGGAAAAGTTAGGAGTTGTGTGGCTTATATTGTGTACGTTTATAAGGGAAATAAGAGTAGGTGACACATGTTCTCTATTCCGATTAATTGCAGCCTGAGAAGTGTAATGGGGTTATTGCTTCGTCAATTACCAAATCAGTCTTGGCTAACCAAAAAGCTAAATGTGCCAATAGCTTTGTATTAAGAAAGAATCCCACGGTTGAGGGTTTTTTGCTTTGTTCGGTGGGGTGTGTTTTGGCTTTGTCTGTTTTGGAGGCTGTTTCTTCTCTTTGGGGGAAGCAGAGTGGTTCTGTGGAGCTTGAGCTGTTTTTTTTTCTTAACGTGCTGAGAGAGGTTGCACTGTCATGTGGGGCCTGTTGGATTCAAATTGAAGTGATTTTCAGAAAAGCAGGTCTAGTAATTTGCAATAGTTGTAATGACAAGTCTGGCTTTGTTGCCAAACTTCCGATGAACATCTCATATTTTAATAGTTAGTGCCTTTGTTAGAGCTGAAAGTAGGATTACTCAGAGAATGAGATAGATGAAAAAATAAAATGCTGAGTTCGATACAGTCTTTGTACAGAAGAAATGTAAGATTCAAATTAAGTTTCAGTAAGTATCACTGTTATTTGATGATTGAGGATGAATGAATAATTATGACTTAAAAAATCACTTACAGTTGATTCATGCAAGACAGCTGATTTTCTCATTCTGTTGTTAAAATGCTTTGTAGTTCCTTTCTTAATTGGGATTAACACTGAATCCTGTTCCCTAACATACATGATTCCATTTATGATTCCTAACATGATTCCATTTATTTTTGGTTTGCTGCTTGACCCATCATTAATGCGATGATCTGACTTGTTAGACTGTACGCCATGGTTTCCCCTATCAACCTTCAGCCTTGGCATTTGATCCTGTTCAGAAAATACTGGCCATCGGGACTCAGACTGGAGCACTAAGGCTGTATCCTTTTAACATTCTGAAACAGATTTGGTGCACCTCATGCATGTGATATTTTGACTCAGCTGCTGGGACCATTCAGAAGTCTGGTGGGAACCAGGTATGCAAGAGAGAAGAAAAGAAAAGCTGTTTTCTGCTGGTGGGTGGCCTGGTTGGTTTGGTTGTTCTTTGTGTCAGTTCAAGTTGTGTTAATAACGGGAGGTATGGCTGCTCAGTCCCTGTTGTCTCAAGTTAACATACACATTTTGTAGAGGGTTACTAGTGTGCTGACAGTTTAGAACAGCTGACTGCAAATCTAGAGACCTGGGCTAAGCTCTGTTTCATTGTTCTGCTGTATCCTCTGGGATTGAAGAATTTTGTGTTGCTCAGTGGGGGTTTGTGTGCTCTGTTTTTTTGCCTTGTTCTTGAGATAACTACAGTATTACAAACCTTACCTGATACTGCTTCTGTGTTGCCAGAAAATGGTTTCACATGATGACCCTAAAGGGTACAGGAGTTGTATCTCACTAATAGTTTCCAGGTGACTGAGATGAGCAGAATGAATTTGTGAAATAAAGCACCAGTAACCTTGCTTCTTTTTGTTCACTAAAAAGTGAACTATCGATATGTTCACAGCTGTATGGTGCCATAGCCATATGCTACTATCCAAGCCATGTAACAACATGTGTTTAAACTTTTGTTTTTAAAAAAGGATGCCCTATAGATTGTTTAATCAAGAGCCATTGTCCAAACCTTACCTTTCTGAGGAAAAGAATGAATTGAATTCTTTGCTGTCCTGAAATTGACTCAAGTCTGGCCTTTTTGGGGAAGACTGAGGCCGTCTTGCTACAAAAATTGACTTGATCCTCTTTAAACTGTAGGGAAACATCATCTTTTCACTTTCCTTTGCTGCTTATGTTAGTCTGCAAGTAGACCTTTTTTTTTTTTTTTTTTTTGTTTCCCTCTGTAACATCACTACTCTGTGTGTAAGGTTAATTACCTTAAGAGGGTCTTTTAAAAGTTGAGAAATCAGAACTTCAGTATGAAATCCAAGGCTTTAAGAAGAGGCTGAAGTGAAGTAGCTTGTATGATATCTATAATTATATGTATTATGAATTCCCAAGATCTCTTAATTCAAAGTAATTAACAGTAATCGACAGTAGTGACCATGCAGTGTTCCTAATGGCATATTTGAAATTATCCTTAACTATAAATTTTGGTGCTGAAAAGGTGGTAGAGTTGATTTAGAATGAATTGTGGGTGGTTGGTGCTGTTAATTACTCTCATATTGGTAGAATAGATGAGAAATTAAAAGAGACCTAAAAGTAAGGATTTGGATTGGAGAAAAAGGAGGGATCAAAATACACCTCTTTAGAGCTTATTCACCTGTAATTTTCAACAGTATGATGTTGCACTTTGGGTAATGATGACTTGATAAAACCTGTTTACTGGCACTCATCCATGACTACAGCTGTGAATTCTTGGAGTGTGAATTCCTTTCTAAATAATCAAGAGAAGTATTTCAAGATCGTAAGGGAAGAAATAGTTACTATGAGAGGAAACAGTAGCATTGTAAGATAATGTATTTCCTAAGGTAAGGGAAGAGGTTTCATGCAGAGGCTGAAAAGTTGACTCTCACCTAACTTGATGAAGATTAATATGATTCTCAGTACCTTGATACAGATCTTGATTCTTGGAAGAACTAGTGAAATGCCCTCGACCTCAGCTAACGGGTTAGCCTTACAACTCAACAACACTGCAGATGTTGCATCTCCTGTGTTTACTTGCTCTTTGGGATGGAGGAGTGCAGGCAGAGGGGATACATTCAGACACATTCCCAATGTAAAACCAGCCTCTTACTGTCTGCCTGGTGAAACTGTTTTGAAAAGTACTCTTTGGGAAGGAGTGAAACTTGACATAAGTGCTTATTTTATTCTATTGCTCAAAGATAAAAAACATAAAACATAACCAAAAAGTGCTTGTTGACCTACAGGATGCTTTACCTGCCAAGGTTTCTACAAACAATGAAATATGTTCAAGGATTCATTAAAGTGGGAGCCACTTACTCTAGAGCTGCAAATATTCTTAATTGAAATGGGACATGGAATAGAAAGACTGAGAGTCAGTTCATTGAGAAGTAAATCCTGAAAGTCAATCCTCATTTTCTTCTGCATTCATGTTGTGAGAGTATAAAAGTAAAGGAATAATAATGTTTCTTTCATTGCTTACCAGCAGATGGGAGCTGGGTATTAGTGTTTTCCTTGAATCTTAAAATATAGGTGCCTCTTGTCAAGCTTTCACTTCATTCCTATTTCAAGTAAGTGATCTGAGGAATTGGAAGAAAGGGTTTGGTTTTTGTTTTTTTTTTTAAGAAAGGCTATTAAAGAAAAAATATTCCTAAATCAAGGAATGACCTAACCTGTTTTAGATTTCATTAATATGTGAAGAAATTAATGTTACAGTCCTGATTGACTTTGGGCCATTTATCAGCTAACCCCTTTACAGAACATGTTTTCTATATTTGAGCAGTCAGCAGTTCAGGTACTTTAACTTCAGAACCAGTATTGATTAGGACAGATTAATGTGAGCAGGAATTTTCTGAACCACACTCCCATCTCATTCTTCTTTACAAGGACTCTAATCACTAGTGGAGGAACGGAGAGAATTTTAACATATAAATACTAAATGTTGTTTCTTGTATTGATACAGTGACATGTAATGATAGAACTAAAGCTTTTTCTGAAAAAACAGAAGCTGTGGATACAAATATACTGGAAGTTCACTGACAGTGTATTTATTAATTAGAGATAAATAAAGACAAAATGACATCGCAGCTGTATTGAATTCTCTGAATCCACACAGTAACTGTGAAAATGGTAATAACTAAACTGTAGGTGGCATATTTCACTGATTGGATTAGAAGTTGAATTACTACTCTGTTAATATTCTTTGTCCCTGATCCTGGGTTTGATAGGTTAAAATAAGAGGACAGCACTGTGGAGGTGGTGACTTAGTTTGCCAGAGGCTGGAGTTTGCCATTCTGTGTCCATAAGCAGCAGCTGGTTCTAGATCTTGCAGTTTTAAGAGGGAGAGAAGTCCATAAAAATGTTAGGAGAAGACTGCTTTTAATGTAAAACTTAAACCTTATGAATCACCAAAGTTAGTTTGGGACTATTCACTAGCTTAATTTGAGCAGTGTATCCCTTGTATCTCCTTTAAAAACCCATTTGGTTCTACTTCCAGGGTTCCTTAGAAATATTTTTAACTCTGATTTAGCTAGGAAACCCTTAGAGAACATTTTGAGCAATTAATAGCAAAGGGTCTATTCTGTTTTCAGCTATGGACAACTTGGTTCCCTTACTGCATATGAGAAAGAGGGACAAAGTGTATAGCTTCATAGAATGGAAACCTTGAAGAGAGGTCAGATGCTGGACTCACTACTCTTGACTACAGAACAACCAGCTGATGTGACCTTCTCCCTGACATTAGGATCTGTTGAAAACAGTTAAGCCATTTGATTCTGTTCTCTGTATTGCACGGGAAGTTGAGTGATAAGGTAGGCAAAAGAGCAGGAGTGCGGCCCTGAGTGACATAAACTCTTAAATTTGTCACATACGCCCACACTCATCTGCTTATGCTGATCCAGCTGTTCCTCTGAGTTGGTGGTGCTGATCAGACGACGCTTGTTCCAGCCGCTTGAGGTGTTTGAGCCTTGGCTGGTGGCCTGGCTCTTACATGTGGCAGTTCTGCCTCAGGCTTGCACTTCTGCACAGTGCTGGAAGCTTGTGGATGTTTTCACTACAAGGAGCAGTTGTGTTTGATACTGATTTCAAACTGCAACAGTTAGTGTAAGCTACTGGTGTCTTCCTTTGTCACTGCAAAGATATCTTTGACTTGCCCCATCCTTAAAAGGATTTAGCTGTTGTTGCCAGGGTGGCTTTCACCTTTTGATCTCCTGTCCCAAATGTGATAGATATCAAGTATTTAAAAGTTCATCTATACTTTGCTTCTTTCCTGTTCGTACCTGAACCATTACAGCAGGACACACAGTCCATAGCCTTTAGGAAGTTTTGTGCATAATTGTGCTTTGTTTTCCCAGCAGGTATCAAACCTTCTAATGAGTTAGAGCTGAGTGTGCGTACTTGAGGTTTAACTTACCTGAATGGTGTAATTGGGTAGACTTCACCCTGTGACATCCTGACAGTGTTCAGTGTCCTTGGTAATATCCCTGCTTCTGTACTGTCCATTGTTTTCATTCTTTTGCTTAAAAGTCCTTCTAGAAAAGTCAAATGTAACATTTAAACTGTAAAGAGGTCTGAGAAAGGTGAAAGCGACTTTTTCAGGATTTGTCTGTCTTTAGGATGTTGTTTTCTCAGAACTTTAAATTACTACTTGTACAGGGCTCTGGGCTTAATAGTTGGCTGAACTTTTTTGTTTGCTTTTATGGGTGGTAGAATAACCTTTGAAGCTAAAGCAGAAGAGTTGAAGGAATTCTCCAGCTCCCTACTGTTTAACTGCACCATCTTGAACAAGTTTCTTCAGTTTTCACTGCTTTAATTTCCCAATAGCAAAACTAGGACAGTATATCAAATGAAATGTAGTTTGATTATCAGCTAACATGAATGCAGTATCTTCACTGGTACTTCGTGCCTTAAAAATACTTATTTGCAGCTTGAACCTCAGTCACTCTCTTGATAGAGGGAATTCTAAAAAGGAAGACCACTTCCACTAGAAACAAGAATAAAGGGGATACTGTAGAATAAGCCTTTTGCCTTCCACAGATTGTACCTAGGACTCTATTTCCTAGCAGAATGGGTTCTTTAATTCAAGTTTGGGGTGTTTTTTCTGTCGCAAACCCAGTTTACAGAAAAGAGAAAAATTAGATTGCATGTCATTCTGTCATGAAATATCTGAAGATCCCAATTGTTCCAAATGTCAGCATCTATTTCCCTCCATTCTTTTCAGCAGTAAAAGGTGACTTGTATGTAGGCAAATGGCTAAAGTTTTCACGTATCTGAGGCGTA